ATAATCAAATACGGTTTTGATGATAATTAAATTTTAAACGGTAATACTAACCATCAGGGCATTTTATCGTGATTTATCGTGAAACCGGTAATCGTTCCATCCCTAAGGGACTTTGTAGAAATCTAAGCGTTTGAGAGAGGCGGGGCATATAGGACCTACAATAATGCACAGTATTTGAAAAATAATGTGTTTTTTTAACATTAAAGCATGTCAACACAAAATAATGATCTTTAAAAAAAGCACCATATGACCCCTTTAAGGCTTTGATGTGAGGTAGCTGAAGTTGCAAATGTAATAAACCATCTGATCCCCTGCTTTATGTCGGACAGACACAAAACACACTAAGTTTAATGTGCTTTCATGTGTCACTCACCTGTGATACCTGGGCTTGAAGGATTTGATGTGGGCTTTGCTCCGTCCAGTAGTTGCTCTGCCCTATTAGACAGGGGGCCGTCAACAAAAATGTCGGCGTCATCGATATCATCACACACACCTCCAATTTGAAGGAAATGAAGCTCTCCACCTTCATATGGGAAAAAAAAACAAAAACTTATTTGGCCGAGTGCTTAAGCTTCAGAAATTAACTTTGAATGACATTTAAATAATTGCATGTAGCATTGCTTACTGCAAGTAAAAGTATTAATATTTAATACTTCCTAAACTAGAAAGTATTATGTTTTCTATATTTTCTGGAGAAAATGGTGCAAAAATTCTTAAGACGATGTTCTGGTCACAAGCCAAGTCAATAGAGTGTCTATGCTACTCAGGATATTCTAGGTATTAATTGGTTACATCCTTCAATGTGAGTTGGAGACTTTTTTTTGCCTGTTTTAATCACCCATCAAGTGAACACTAAATAGTCAAATACCTTTAAAAAAAAAAAAAAGTACTGGCACACCTCATCAACAAACCACACAATTTATTTATTCATATGCATATCAAGGATGGTAGGCACATCATACTTAGGGTTAAAAGGCTTGTTCAGCTCGCTAACTGCAAGTACGTCTTATATTAACAGTGATTTTAGTCTTAATCAAGCTACTCATTAACATAAATACAGTGACGGACAGTCAAAAAAACGAAAGTGAAAGGCAGGGGTGGAATTCCCCTATTCTCCCTTTTTCTAATAAATGCACAGATGTGATAAGAATTTTTTCTTGAGCAGCAAATCAGCATATTAGAATGATTTATGAAGCATCATGTGACACTGAAGTCTAGAGTAATGACTACTGAAAATTCAGCTTTACCATCACATGAATAAATTATATTTAAAATGCATTCTCAAAAACACACAATAGCAAAGCTGGCATTAATAGACCAGAGCAACAGATTCATAAACTTTACTACTGTGCTTAATTTTGTTTAATTCAGCCAGTAAAAAGGGCAATACAAATCATAAAACCAGTAGTGGCAATCCTTGACTCCCCAAGGTCACTTCTCATGGATGTAAGCGACACAGCGGCCATATTTATGAGTCGGTTGAGCTCACTATGGTTAATGAGAACCTTACTGGTTACCATAGCGATGAGGTATGTGTGGGCAGCAAGCTAAACTGAAAGAAACAGTGAACTTCCACGCCTCACATCTCCTTGTTAGTGAACAACACATGAAGAAGCCAGTAATAACAGTTGAATCGCAAATAAATATGTCAATAACTTGCTTACCTTTTGTGCAGGCACACAGCCGGTCAGTGCCTGAGCAGTAGGTAACAGAGACGAAGGGGTCCACCTCCTCTGTCCCCTCTTTCTTGGGTGGCTCCACCTTGGCCAGCACCTCTAGGGTGGACAAGTCTAGAATCATGATGTAACCCGCCTGTGTAGTCACCACCAGGTGTCCAAGTCCGGCCACCTCTCCTCTCTTCTCCTTCCCAGCGGCAGTTCCCATGCTTGGGCCAGCTGTCACTGCAGATGCAACCATCCCCGTGCCATTTTTGAGCCCTGAAGGTGTCGTCGACTCAGACGTTTCCTCTCCATCATCCTCTCTGCCATCCAGCACATCTGGCGGCAGGAGGAGGAGAGACGTGACAGCATCCCTTGGGTCACGAATCTGCTGCACCTTCACTGGTTCTTCCTCCAGTGTCACAATGCGGGTGGAGTAATTCAACTTGTAGAGTGCAAGGTATCCGCCACCACCACTGGCCCCTAGAGGTCTGGAAGTATGGGGCTGCTGCTGGTCATGAGGGGGCAGGATGAGAGGGGTCTGTGGAGGAGAGGTGCCCGAGTGGGCGTCATGGCCATTGGCCAGTGTCTGTCCTTTGCGATGGCCACAGAGGGCCGAATGCAGACGGTTAAGTGTGTTTAACACCTCCACTTGATTGATAGCGCTAAGGGACTCTACGGAGCACGGTTGAAGACCAACTAACAAGTGTAATCCATCGCTGCAGGGCGTGATGGAGTCAACGTACAGGTTCTCTTCCTCCAATGCTTTTGGCAACCGCAAGCACTGCACCAGAGAGCCCGGCCGTGGAGCCAGAGAGCTCCACTTTTCCCCATCCAGAGGTCCGAGCCCAGCTGCCGCATCCGCAAACTGCTGGATATATGTGATGGGAGGGTCCTGCAGCAGCAGCTGCTCATGCGAGTCAAACTCCATCTCGATAATCTGCGGGACAGTGAAGCCCTCCTCGTGAAGCCCTTTGCTCATCAGGTTGTTCATCTGGGTGAACACCTTCCCTGAAGACTTCTCATCTGCTTCCTTGATGCTGTACAGGAGTAGTACAGGCATAGTCCTATGCACAGGGGTGACTGGTGGTAGGTTTGGGGAGCCCAGGTCTGTGGGGAGATTACAGGACCCGATCTCCATGGGACCCTGGTCCGGAGCAAGCCCCTCAGGGGCAGCAGTCCTTACTGGGCTATCCATGGAGCGTCGAGACGGAGGGGGACCTAGTGGAGAACTAGCTGCTGACCTGTAGCTTAGCAGTCCGCCGGCCAGCAGGCAGGGGAAGGGAATGTTGTGGTGCTCGGCTGGCCTCTCCTTAGCCTTGTCGGCTTTTGGGGGGCCCAGTGAGTGTGGGGGGTTGGCCCCCAGCTCCTCCAGGTCTTTAACTGTGTCCTCCAGCACACTGGCCACCACCTCCCACTGCAACTTCTCAGGCTGCTGTAGGACACTGAGAGCCGTGACTCCCAAACTCACCTCCATTGTCTCTTTCTGACCCAGTGGGCCTACACATATGGAAAGCAGGAGAACGATAAATAGTGCGTTTATTGACAACACTGAGTGCAGATATGAAAATTAAGTGTTGAATAAACTTTATTAATACATGAAAATAAATTTTCTACTTTTTACCTGTGACCGACTCTGATCTGGAATGCTCTTCACTGTCCGAGTCCTCTATCTGGTCATCACTAGGAACAAAAACACAGGAAATGTTCAATAAACACAATAACAGAGGAAGACATCTTAAAATAATTTGCCACAAGTGTGTATAAGTAGGTTTAGAACCTGTCCCCCTCTAGTTTGGGTAAGTCAGAGCAGCAGGTGGCCTCCTCTAGCCAGGAGAGTGTGGGCCTTCGTGATTCTGTGCCTGTGAGACTCTGCTGCTCACTGCCGGACAGGATCAGCTGCCTCAAGATGGCTGGGTCATATGGGTTCACCTCAAACTTTAAATGCACCTGCACAGGTGAGAAAAACGTTGATACAGAGCACAGAGATTTAGGTGTACTGCGTCTTTCTCATCCACTTTAGAGACAGTGATAAACATAGTGATGAACAACAAACCTTCATAAGCTTCGAAACATCCCAGATGCAAATCTTCCCCCTTTTGGTTGCCGTAGCAAGGAAATGAGGGCAGCTACCAAACCCATAGCACACGATTTTATCCGAACCATCTGCACTGGGAAACTGGGCTGGGCAGGTGGCCAAGGTGACGAATAGCGGAACGTTTTGGGTGTGCTCCCCTTTCACGAACGGACAGTTGGGCGAGTGGCGCTCATGCTCAGACCTAAAAAAGTATCAGATGTTTTATCGGAATGGTTAATAGCAATAGGAAGGCCTTCATTATGGTTCATGTGAGAGTGAGTGAGACATTGCAGCCGTGTTTTAGTGGGGTGCTTCTCACCAGGGCTCATCTGTAGGTTCCCAGCACACTAAACACACGCTGCAGGTGAAGCACATGGCCCGGTCATCACCTGTGGATGCAGGCTAGAAGGAAGAAGACAGAGCTGTTAGCACCATCCACAGTGCAAAGAGATGTTCAAAGACCTGATACAAGAGGACAAAGACGAAACATTATAGCACACTATAAATGCAATACCCAGAAGCAAAAGTCAAAGAATAACCCGAATGAATGCGCTGATAAGCACTTTCAAATTTCTGTATGCGGGAACCAAATTTGATCTGCTCTTCAGCATGTTACATTAGCACAAGTCTTTACATGAAAGACTCCTTAACCTAAACCAATACATCTGGTATAACAGTTTAAAAAGATTAAAGTCCACCTAGGGCAAACCTTAAAATAAATTTCAGTTCATAATTAATCATGTTTTCCCGTTTCGCAGAATGTCCCTTTGCTGTGGCATCACCCTTTCATCCACAACACAGAGGCACTGTTCTCCCTTCGCTCTGTTCGGTTGGCATGACAACAGGGAACATGGGTAAGAGGAGTAGTTTGGTCTCCTTGGTTACCAGCGCAGCTCAACCCTCCTTGGCATGCATGGTGACTCAAGTAGAGACAATACATCATGTACCAGAGCATCATCGGGAATTCCCTAATATTATAATAAAACTAAAAGTGAAACATTCATATGTTTTAATTATGGATTTATTTCTGTTGTTTTTATAGCCTGAACAATTAGGAAAAAAATTTTTTTCATTCTTGTTGACCCAGTTTATGTCTGTGTTCAAAATGATAACACTTTCAATAGTGATACAAACAGGCTTTCACAATAAGTCAGTGGCCATCAAGAGGAATCATTCAAACAGCGAAAAAAACAAAAACAAATACCACATGAAAAGCAAAGCGAAGAGGACCTTAGCAGAGAAAGCCAGGGCAAAATTTAAAGGTGGCAGTCAATTTGGAAAGAATCATTGACATGGTGATGACACAAACCTGGTGATAAAAGCCTGCCTGGGACATGGGATCAGGCTGAGCCCACCTATAGCCAGTATGAGGCCAGGATGTGAACGTCTCTCTCCTGTTAGCTTCACTGTACATCAAAGACCTGCAAATATCACACATACACTCTTAAGTCAAACAATCTTTGGTGGTAAAGAGGCACAAACAGTACTTCAAATCAGTCTACATCCTCAAATTCACTATAATTTAAACTAGTTTTTTACACTTTCTGTAGAAAATCAGAGCGGTGCTTGCACATGCTTCCACCATAAATATAAGGTGTTCTGGGTGCTTTTCAGTGTTTTAGTGTGGTTACGTAAGGTGTGCTGGATGTTTTTAACAGTTTTTCCATAATGGACCAAGCCAAATTACCATATCCTCCAAATCTCAATCATGTACTGGTTTACAGATATGACTTGGGTCCATTCATCAACATAAAAGTCTTGAATTTTTTCACCTACTGTCCACAAATGGAAAATGGAAAAGGAAAAGTAATGGCACAATTCTCAAGCTGCACTATTTGAGGTATAATTTACAATTCTGAATGCTGTTAAGCTATCACAAATAATTAAACAAACACTGACGTGCCCTGTCTTGTGTAGTTACCTGTCTACAGAGCGTCCAGGTCCAACACCCAGCTCTGGCCTGCCACTTGGTAAGAGGTAGGAGAGTCTGTCCATGACCGAAGAGGCGACCGTCAGGGCTGCAACATTCTGATTCAACTTTTTCAACTCATTCACGATGGCACTCGTTACCACCTTTAGCACGTGATGAGGGAGATGGAAGGTCACGGTTGCCCACTGGAAAGTGAGAAAGATGTAGGGTAACATTAAATTTCAACAGCATTCACAGCAGGAAGGCATGCAAGATGGTGTTAATAATAGGCCTACATCTTTTTTAGGAGCTTGTAAGAGCTGCAAATACTTGAGGATTTTCTAAGTTCAGCTGCCTCATTTCAGGCCAAGTGTTTCAATATTTTTTAAACTGAAATGTCTGAACAAGTCTAAACAAGCTTGTTCACAACAATCCTGGCTTATTTGAACTTTCCCTCTCATTTAGAAAAACCTCCAATGTTCAAACATGAAATAACCTGATACACAATCTGTGCTCTTTCAAAGAGCCAGGAAAGTTCCAGAACCCAGTGCAGTGGCCTGACAGGGGTCAATGGAGAGCTGAGTGAGAAATCGATCACCGTAGCTGACGCTCATTGTTACAGCAGTGCAATCTGGTTGTCTGCCAAATTACGGAAAAAAGGGTGCCTGGATGACTACACACAAGGGAACACTGCACTTACTTTCATTTTTTTAACCACATGGGGCTGATGCCGTGGTCCACTGCGAAACTGATTAACATGACTGCAGTAATATGCTGATGGCTTGGAGGACGCAGGGGAGAAACATGCCATCATTATTAACTGCAGAGGCCCATTTATTTATTTGAGACTCACGAAGAGAGTGCTGATCTAGGATCAGTTTCGTTCCTCCAATCTAGATGAATATGACTCATGCACAGATGGGGGAAAACAGATCCTAGATCAGCATTTATGAGAGGTCCTTATAAACGCACCATGTAAATAAAGGAGCCGAAGACTCCTGGTGTGATAACCGATGCTCTTGTTTTCTCATTACACAGATGCAATCTGTACGTACTATACACAAAAGACTAAAGAAACCTCTGCTCTCTGTCCACGTGCTTGCATCTGGTAGAGACTGCAGCAATGAGAGCTTAAATTGGTATTGTTATTGCATTATTACTAGCACATTATTTTTACAAACAATTAATAGATTTTTTTTATTGCATTTTACTTTAGGCTTTATTTTGTTGTTTATTTTTTTAATTTGTAATTATTTTTATATTTGTTGTATACCATTTATTGCTATTGTTTTTTATTATTACTGGCACAATATTTCTATTTATTTTACATTTTTTAATTCAATTTATGTAAAACTATTCTGCCGATTATTATACCAAAAGAACACTTTGAAACTAAAAATTGCTCTTGAAGGGGAACAAAATGGCACTTGAGAGGTAAAAAATTGGAAGCGATCCGTATAGTAAATTTGTGCTGCAGAGACTCCTGTCACATCTAATCATGTGTTACTCTTTAAACTGAGTGTTTCTCTCTGCTCTTCACTTTGCATTCTTACAGTAGCAGTCATGACAATATGTATAAAGACCGAGGGAGTCTTAAGATGGACCTCAGCTCTGACAGATTTCACTGGCACAGCTGCATTAGTGGGAGTCTTAGATCATCCTCCTGTTACTGCAGGGCTACTGATATACCTCAGAGCTCTGCCGCACCGCTGTTCAATACAACCTGTGTGTGTCTGCACAGATCAGTCACTGTGAGGATGTGTCTCATGAATAATCTATACTCTGTAATGCTACATGACTCAACTATTCTTGCTTATTAACAAACACACACAACACACACACACACAGTCGGATTGCATTACATCAGCAAACATGCACCACACACACTGTGCCACAAGGTTTTAATCCGACTTTATGGGACCCACAAATTCAAGAAAGGAAAAGAAGCTTGCCAGAAGCTCTGCAGCACTGAAACATGAAGCCAAATCCCAGCACTGCACAATAATGAATGGATGGCCAATACTACCAGCGTGTGTGTTTGTGTCAAAGAGAGAACCAGTCCTGTGCCTGAAGAACACTTTAAGAATATGAATACATTTGAAAAATTCTTGATAGGACAGAATATGTTTTCTATGGAAGTCTGTTTCTGCTTCAGATTAAAAAAAGGTAACTAAGCAATGAAGCTCTAATTAGGAAATAACGTCACAATTGCCAGAAATTAAGCAACAATTGTAAGATATGAAGTTGTATTTGTGAAATATCTTCTCACAAAAAAATGCAATAGTGAAATATAAAAGACTTAATTGTAAAATATGATATCCCAAATGTATTAAATTGTTAAATATGATGCCCTGAAGATATAAAATCAATTCAGAGAGATAAAATTACAGTTGTAGCTGTAAAGACGTAACTGAAGGTGCATTGTGAGATACAGTTTTAATTGTGTGCTATAAAGTCACATTTGTGAGCTACACAGTCAAATTATTAGACATGTTAAAAAAATAAATACATACAATCGCAATTGTAAGATATTATTATACTCTGTGGTTACAAAAACATTATAATGATTAGAACAGTGAGATGACTTATGAATGATGCATCGACCTTCCTGTTAGACTCACCTTTGCCACTTTGTGATTGGCCGCCGTCTCATGTGAGGTATTCTCCAGGTCTTCTTTGAGCTGGGTGAGAAAGAGATCGTAGCCCTCTGTGTTGGAAACATCCACCTTCTCCATACATGCATACAACATCTGCTGGGCCTGCAGGGGAACACGGGGAACATTGTATTTCACGTTTACCACTTATTCAAACCTCAAAGATGCAGAATATAAGCAAAAAGTCATTCATCTATATACAGAGCGGAGCACATGGCAGTCCAGCACTGTTAAAGCAAATGCATCGTGATGGCCTCGCCTCATCGAATCTGTATTTTCTCATGCGGATTTCAAATGATAGTGGTGAAGTGTTATGCCATTAGACTGCTTCAGATTATTAAGGGATACTGATCTCAAAGGACCACTAGCACAGGAGTGATGGTACTTTCTACTGCAGGAAACATTAGTTATTACAGAACCAAGACCGTAAAGATGTTACACAAGATTACTATTTCGTATAAGTGCTGCTCCTCTAAAAATTTCTATTCATCAAAGAATCCTAAAAAATGTATCAAGGTTTCCACAAAAATAGTAATCAGCACAACTGTTTTCAAAAGTAATAAGAAATGTTACTTGAACATCAAATCAGCATATTAGAAAGATTTCTGAAGGATCATGTAACACTAAAATTACATAATTAAAATGGATTAAAAATTAAAACTGTTAATTGAAATAATACAATTATTTAATAATAATACTGTTTAACTATTTTTATCAAATAAATGCAGCTCTAGTCATCATAAGATACTTCAAAAACAATTCTTACCAATCTCAAACTTTTGAACTGCAGTGTACTTTTAGACTAACCTGGGTTACCCTGATTCGAACTTCATGAATCTAATTACACACAGAATCAGTCTTTCTTCCATTTCATGTTGATTTGTAATGACATTTTATGTAAAACCTCCACAGGGTCAACACTGAAAATTGTGAACCTGAGCACATCATGACGCCTCTTTTTTGATGCTTCAGAGTTCAATGCACTGGGTAACACGGTCACAAATCGTTAAAGGGCTTTAATACGCAGTGTGTCTTTTACCGAGTGTTCAGATGGAAGCTCACGCCTTACATTACTCACTACCTCTCAAGCACATCACAGAGATGTTCAGCTGACGTTTCAAACAATACTGCTTGGCTCCACCTAGAGATTTCCAACTATTTATGCTATTTTTGTGTACCTAGAAACTCTAGTAACAACTCATAAAAACAGCATGACGGCAATGTAATTTCAGACGAGTACACAAAATGAAACAACGCCCCAGAGATGAGAAAGACTGAATATAAAGGTATTTAACAGTCTTGTATGAACATGTTCTGTCTCATCAATTTTACCATTTCGAATCAGTTCCATAAAACAATAAGCTAATCACAATCAACATTATGCTATTGAAAATCCTATATAAACAGATTTACTTCCAGTGCTGTGGTGATGACTCATGTTTACACTTCAGTTCTCACATTTCACCGTACACGTTTATGAATGGCCTTTCTGAACAACAAGTTTAGTCACATGACTCAGACACTTCAGTCTGAGACTATGTTAACTCATGTGACCTAGCAGAACAGATTTGGCTCCCATGAGGAACAGCTCATGGCCTGCAGAAGTTTGTTTTGACATCAATAGCCTCAATTGTGTATTGGAAAATATTAGGGCTGCCACTAACGACTATTTTTATTTCGATTAATCTATTGACTAATTTATCGATTAATCTAAATGATTAATTACCCACCAAAAAAAAAAGTAGACCACAAGAATGACAACATATCCACGTGTTCTAGTCTACTACTAATAAAATTAAATTTTTTTATTTTTTTATAAAAATCAATTAATTGGAAATACTTTTGATTATTAAAAATGAATGGAACCATTAAAATGGAATCCAGAAAATAATGGAAAACAGAATTTGGTAAAGATAAAACTGTAAAACTCAATTAATTAGACCGGCTTTTTGATAAATACAATTTAATTTAACCATTAAAACAGAGTATAGAAAAATGAGAAAGAAAAAAAATGAATTTGGAAATAAAACAGATTTCATAGGGCCCTATAATTATAATAAATTTTTTTGT